AAAAAGCCCAGAAATACAGACAAGGAAAAAAAAATCAAGCTGGACAGATAAGAATGAATATATTATCACTGACAACCAGTATGTGACCATTTGAAAGAAAGAAGCATGTACATTAGTAAAACAAAACTTCAATCTAAGGTATTATCTACTTATTTAGATGTTGTTACAGCTATGTTTTGTACAGCAGCTGCCCTGTTACCAGTGACTTGCACAGTCACTCATTTCATGCACATGACTGGGCTTTTGGGGTGTCCCTGAGCAGCTTCTCATGTACTTCTTCATGTACATTTCTGTCATATATGTGATGTATAACTTYAAAAAGTGCATATGTATGCATATAACAGTTAATGTGGCTGTAGCATAAACCTTGAGTGAATAAGGAATACACCATTAGGGACTCCTGAAGAGCCCTCATGACCCTGTGGTGAACTTGTTCAAAAGGAAGGCTACCAGAACAATACATTAAATTAGTGGTTCTACACAAGCTAAAAAGCAAATCCTTCATGTCTTAATTTGTGGCATGGGGGTTGCTTAAGCAGCCATAGGCCARTGGCACTCTCAGAGCAACCCATCTTGCCTTTCATTCCTCTTCCTGCAGTGAGCTCCTCAGTTCCACATATTGCTCACACACAGCTCTGGACAAATCCAGGCATTCTCTGACATCTTTCAGTGGTAGTAAAATAACATTTTTTTCTTAAAATTAAGGGCAAAAGCCMAGAGCTGGGAAATTCTCTCTCTCTRACAGGYAAAATGTTGGTGAGGGTCTCAGTAACTGATATCTCTGCAAATCAGCGACTTCTGCCTTGTGCTTAACCCACAATTCAGTAGGAGCCACAAGCTGGAAGCTGAGTTGTGTTTTGGTTTTTGTTTCTTTTTTAMAGCCATGCTTCCCAACTTTCAGCATTGTATGAATACATAGCATTCAGTGACTAGCCCCTTGTTACAGCCTTTAGGAAATGCACAAGGAACAAAAATTAACTTACTGTCTTTGGAGGACTACATTTAGTAAAGAAACCTAGGATGTTTTTATTTTAAAATCATTTATGCAAGGCAAAATCAGCCAGGGCTTGTCATCCTGGGTGTTGCTGCCGTCCAGATGGAATCAGTGCATCGTTTCTCATTTGGCTGATCCCTACCACTAATGGCAGGAGGTGACAGATATTCATATCTGCTGAGAGCTGTGTGCAGCTCTGTTGCTGTGTACTCAGCACAGTTCTCAAATGCATATAACATGGTCATGTCAAAGCTCACCAGAATCAGTACCTTTAAAAAGTCAAAAAATTCAAATGTTTTGGATTATTTTAAGTATCAATGGCCAATTCAAGTTCCAAATTCTCCCAGGAAAGGTACCTCAAATTCCATTCTCCCAGGAAAGGCACCTCTTTATTTAGAGTGGTATAAATTGCCACTTTTCTACAGTCAGGGCATTTGATGAAGTGTTAAGTATTTGCTAACAGCTGAAGTGGTATTTGAGCATAATAGTATCCCTTCACTCAATTAAAAACCTCCAAGAAACAAATGAATGAGTAAATATATAAAGGGAAGCAGGGATTTGCATTGCTTTRTCCAAGAAAAAGATCATGGCTTCAAGACCTACATTCTGTGTTCTCGTGACCCTTTGAGGAACAGAGAAACAACATGGACACATATCTTTTCACATTATCTCTTGGATAATCTGGATCTCAGGTTACTGAAGATTGTCACACATCTTGTAAGATTATCTCTAGGGCTAAAAATGGGGGGAGGTACTCTCCACCCACTTGTGGAAAGCTTCCTACCTCTCCTACAATAGAGCTTTTAAGCTGAAGGAAGTAATGGGGGTGTTTATGGTTTCTTTGCTTCCACCAGAATGCACACAGGGCCACAAAAGGCCCAGCAATAATTTGAATGAACCAAAATTTTCTTAAAAAGCATCTTGAAACTGGYGTAAACCTTTTCAGATTAGCTGCAAATTCTGGGCTTTTTATTCTGGCACTCAAAAGGAACTGTAGGGTCTGCGTATGTATAATAAAGTGCTGCCATTTCCAACCCAGCGCAGTGCACCAAATGTGGCTGGCAGATTTACAGTAGGCTCTGTTGGTGTGTATGCAAAGATAATTTAAGGTTTAATTGAGACAGGCTCAACCCTCTGAGCACTGCCTTGGGTTTAAGGAGGTGCTGAATGTGTTCTGCAAGAGCAAATATTCACCAYACTGAAGAGCTGGTCTGTATTACCAGAGGAAATGCAGCCTGAATGTGCACACAGACTACAAAATGCTTTTTCCTCTGAGATATCTATAACTACTGTGCAGAAAGTGCTATGCCATCAAYCTTTGTCTGCAGAAATAACAAAAGATTAGCAAGACTGGCACATCATACTTTTGAAAATCAGTTTCTGTTTGTTGAAACAATTTAACAACTTCTGCTTTTTAGAAGTTTTCTTATGTAGTGAGAGTACGAACATTACAGTTCCAATCTGAGTAATAAAAGYAGCTCCCAGTACATGAGTTAAGACAAGGAACAAACTCATAAAGAAAGACAGCTATTTGTGAAAAACCGTCACAAGAAGCCTTCCCCTCAGTTGGAAGACCCTCCTAGGTTAAAGATGAAATACAACTGAAATGCCAATGAGTACCAGAGGAAATAAAGTGTGGAAGTTTTCTGCATCTGTGAAACTACTCACAGTCCAGACACAGCATGAAAGCTTTTATTCTTGTGAGACTGTACATTAACAGCATCACACATCCACTGTCAGAAATTAGGTGGGATTTAAATAAGATTTAAATATGAAAGGGAAGGTCTTACCTGGGGGACATAAACAGGCCAACTTCAGCAAAACAAGAAAACCTGCAAGAAAGGAGTAACATGCAAAGCAGTSCACAGCCAGCATTGCAAAGTGGTTGTTTCTAAGCACCATAAAGGACAGTGTCAGCAATCACTTTCTGTACCATTTGGCCTTAGAGCTGAGTTTTGAGTTTCACTTTATAAATTTCCCAACACTGTGTCACCCTGGAACACTGTAAACAGAGATCTGTGATGGAAAACCAAGCATTTCATAAGAAGGGGCATGGCATGGCCTGGGACCAGAATCCTTAAGACCTCTTCCACTTGCAAACATGCCAGAACCTAGGGAAATCTGGCAGGTTTGGTTTTCCAGGAAATKACAAGAACTTTCATGTTCAAACCCTGAAAAACCAATACAATTGCAGAGTCATCCTGCCCCAGCCCTCACTGAAAAAAAAAAGAACGTAAAGAAACTGCTGCTTCGACAGTTTGATTGATTTTTTGTGGCAATTCAGACACTGAACACACCCACCACACCTTTAACAACACCCTTAAAAACTTTTGACCTTCTCCTAAAGCTACTGTGAGCCACAGTGCTCCTCAGTCTCTGTCCCTCTTGGGAGGCTGAGACTTTGCTGTGCACAGCTCCCTCCACCTCCCGTGATGAGAAAGGTTGGGCTACCACAGCACCCAACACAAAATGAGAATGGAAGAAATGGAGCAGCAAAGCTACTACTGTATCAGACATTCTGTCGGTATTAAAACACCTGGAGGCTAAAATATTTTATCTTTACAGAGATTTACTTAGAAAGCACAGTTTTCACAACACATTTTTTATCAAGAACTTGATTTAATCGGAAGAACAGTTGTTCTTCATAGGCGTAAGTTTTGCTTGGTCTGCTTTTGAACAGATGAAGTTCTCCTTCACGGTGCAAAGAGGTTTAGGATGAGGAAGAGAGAAAAGGTTAACAAATCAGAGGCAGAAATCTGCCCTTGCACCATACCTGATAACCCTTAATGCATGTGCCAAGACATGGGATGTRTGGCTGTAAAGAACCAGGAGCAACAGCAGGGCTGATTTTGGAGGGGGTTTCTGGAAGGTGAGCTGATAACTTTGACCATTCCTCTTAACACATTTTTTCCAGGGATTTATGGGCCTGTGCACCAGCCTTCCCCACTGATGACAGGCAGCCAAAAGGACAACTCCACTGACAAGATACAGGGAGGATGATGTTAGTTCAGGCAATAGAGAGGAATGCTTAAAACACCTCAATAATCACCAGCACCTGAACTCCAAAGTTTTTAAGGTTCATTCAGCCTTAATGAGTCTTTTTTGCTGACAGAAAGATGTTAAACTTAATTCCCCTCTCAAGAGTGACAAGGTCTCTCTCTCCTCCCAGTCCTCTGAGTCCCTTTTGCCTTCTCTATCACGAGTGCAGCACATTAACTTTCAAATTACCATAGAACCTTTTAGGAAAGCAGCACATCGATGAGAACCACTGTCCTGAGTGCCACACAGAGCTGGCTTCTCCCACCCACCCCACGGTGCAGGGAGAGGCTGGGAATTGGGAACACCCGTATCTCAGATACTTCCCAGCATGTTGCAATTTTGAACTAGTTCAGAAACACCATGTCCTGTTAAATCAATAAATCAAAAGGATTATTAATAATCCTTTGTTAAGACAATTAATTCCTATTAGACGAGAAGGAATTTAACATTGTGACAACAAAGTAGCTACATTTAATTTCCCCAAATACATGTAACTATGACGTCACTTTTGTGGTATTGGTTCTTTGTGGTATTTTGTGGTTATTGTTCTCCAGAAATTATTCAACCCTAAAAGCATTGTGATTCGACAGAATGAAAATACATCAATAAATGTAAAATGAAATTTCTGAAGTTGGCATCCAGACTTAAATATTTCTTTGTTACTGGTTGCAGGAACAGATAGGGATGGATAAAACACTTGATGCATTCGAGCTAGAACTCTGTSTTTTGAATTGATGAATTGGTCTGCTGATAAAGTAGCCCATTTATTTTTTTTTAAATTAACTTATAGAATTTGAGATCTGTGCCCTCCCCAGTACACTCATTTTCCAGGCCAGTGAGTCAATTTTTACAATTAATGCTAATTGCTGCAAACACAAGGGATCATTTCGCAAAGCAGCAAATGGTTTTACATTTATACAGAAAGTATTTGGCAAAGAAGGGCAGAAACACCCTTATGTGTGTGCAGTAAGTATTTGAATACTCATAATCTCACTCTATACAGGAAAACTTGATAACCTGCTGCAGGAAGGACGTGTCTAAATGAATACAGCGCTGTGCTGCAGCTGGCATTTGGTACTGTCAAGGCAACACGATTTATCTTGCAAATAGAACATTGCAATAGAATATGCAATAAAAGTCATAGTGAGAAGCTGCTTAAAGAGAACTCAAACAAAACCACATATTCAACGAGTAAAATAAAACCTATGATAATATGTATCTACCTTATTATCTAGAAAAATATTTTATTATCATAATTTCTATATTTTTTGCAGCATTTTATTAAACAACAGTCCAGTGTATATGTTATTATGAAAGACTCTTGTACTGATTAAAATGGATTTACAAAGAGGGGTAATAAAAATCTCTCCTACTTCCTTTTACAAATTTTCCTTTTTTATATTAAAAATTAGAAAAAAAAAAAAACCATAACAGTACTATGCTACTACTATGCTACATCAGCTTCATGTTTTGCTTGAATTGAAGATATTATACTTCCAGTTCTTCCACTCAGAGAGAATTAAGAAACTTTAAGTGACAGATCAATCATGAAAATGCACTGAAGGAACGAACTGGGTATTTAAATCATAGAAGCTTTTCCTTAGGGAAAAAAAAGTCAACTCACAAAGACATTCTGTTTTACACAAATGTCCAGCTTACAAAAAAAATGATACTGATGGAGATACTTCTTGAAAACTAAAGGTTRGGAGTTTCAGTTTTATCATCATACTTCAAAATCTGAATGCCAATGTACCCATAAGGATAATTATAAATAAATTAATTTTTTTTAGAACACTGGAATAAAATGTTTTGGTTTCAAAAATGGATACGGATTTTCCAAAAGTAATTCAGCATCTTAAATTTCAGTTGCTGTTCATGGAAAAATATTTTTCAAAATTTCAGTAATGCTGATGGAAAAAACCCTCAACTTTCTGCCCAAATTTAATACAACCTTTTTTAACCAACAAAGATCRCACACAGAAGAACACAAGGTGAAGGACACTCCTCATACAAGAACAGGATGTCTGCAGAGACTTTGCTAGACAGATTTTCCCATCCATACCTGACACTTCCTGTTGCAGTTCCTTATGAACTGCCTAACAGAGATTAACTGGAGGTGCCTGATCTCTCCAGAATCTTCCCAGGTCTTGGGCAGAGATGTTTACCCTACTTTACAACAGCTAGGACACACATGTGGGAGCTGRGAATTTTGCAATTCTTTTCATTTAACTTCTATTGTCTCTGACATGATTCATGCACTAGGGCTACAGGGAAAATATCGAAATGATATATAATATATCATATTCAGCTTGGAGATGTTAAAAAATCAGCTCTTTCTGCAGTTGGAGAGCAGAGGAAAGAGAGCAGAAAAGTGTGACTAACTGTTCTTGAATATACAAGAGATGTGAACCAGAAAAGGAGCTGTGTTACTGTGGCTGGGGAGTTCATAGATCTGTGATTTACTGCATTATAGGGCCTATTTGGTATGCAAAAAGAGAGGATGATGAAAGGAATAGTTAGTCATGGAGAAAGAGCTAGACAGAACACACCAAGATGCTAACCCCTGGGAAAGGAGCATATTCAGCTGTGATCCACAGCCTGAAAAGAGAATATGGTCTTTTTTCTTTATTTTCCYAAAAATACCTTCTTGCTTCGGCAGGTAGAACACTCATAGGAGTATCCTTCACCCCAGCCTTGAAAGAACACCATGAATTCCAGTGCACTGCTCAAGCCCATCTCAACCCAAGTGGATGGTACATTATTCTTCAAGCTTTTGCTGAAACCAGACAGCTATATTATCTCATGATCATGCTTTTTTCTCCTCTCACTTTAGAAAGYATTGTTTAAGGCAGGCCAAAGAGGACAGAAGGACATGCTAGCTGTGCTGCTRGAGCACACAATGTGCTACCCTCTGCATGCATTTGCTGAAATCTCCACTGTGGAAATGCTTGCAGATAAATTGTGTTCCTGCTAAACTTTCACCTCCCTGAAAACAGTCGTATTCAAAGAAGGGATGAAGGAGAATGATTTGCCTTAGGGAACCCCTTGTCGACTCATATGATTGCTGTTGAAAATGGTCTGGATCTAAAAGACCACARAGGCGTTTGATGTTCCTCATACATATCCTTCAGCAAAAGCACTGGGAGAACAGTCAGTGCTCCTGTGTGTGTGAGTTTGCATTTTCAATAACACACATGAAACAAGCTGTGCCCTGCCAGCTTGGAACAAGCTCTGTCCTGCCCTGATGTACCCATGCCATGGCTCCTCACTGGTGTGTGTGWGAAGAGGAGGGGAGGAAAGGGGGGAAATGGCATTCACGGCCAAGAAATAGGAGCGGGGCTACGGGAAAAGATAAGAAGAAGTGAGGAAGTTAAATGGAGAGGAGGGAATAAACTGGTGGATTGAAATTAGACATCCAAAAAAAAAAAAAAAAAWAAAAWARAGAGAGATAGGGAGGGAAAAGACAATTTAAACAGAAAAGCTCAAAAGACACAGATGAAGAAGAAGGCAAGCATGAAGAAAAAAACCACAGAAGAAGGAAAATAATGAAAAATGCTTAAAGACAAAGTTAAATTAACCATTCCACCRAAAAGGATCTAACAAGAGCAGCATGGGATAAATCAGATTGGTAAGGTGGCAGAAAACCAAAGAGGAAACATGGAGGACAGTAACACAAGCTGCACTCTTCATGGGACAGGCCTTCCAACAATTATTTGTTCTGCTGTTGTCCTGTGGTCACTGATATGGATAATGTCTGCTTTCAGATCTCTCAGCAGCAGGTACAAGCAATGAGGAGAAACAGCCACAAATGTGACTGCCAGTCCAGAGTCTCCTGAGTGGGGGAAAGATCCCACAGAGMAGTCTGTGGTAAAGCAGAGAATTGAAACTCAGTTTACTGTCTCATTAAAGTCAAGTCTTTTAGCTTTCCTTCTCTGCCATGTTTGATGGATGAATCCCTGCTCCAATACTGTCAGTCACCTTCAGTCAGGGCAGTAGCCCAACTAACATCTAGGAATAATGGGACAAGAGTATGGTAAACAATTCAGCCTGCTGCCAGCAGYAATTTTCCCAGCACAGAGCACAGCCCTCCTTTCTCCAATAATGACTCCAGATGGTTTTGTTGCTTTCCTTCAAGGTTAGAACTACCAGCCAATCTGGGAACATACACCCTAGTTGTTAAATGAATTATAGCCAACTGGCGCAACTGAAAACAAGGGAAAAACAACAGCAAAAAAATTTTAGAATGATTTCTCATCCACACAAGCAGCAAAAAYGAGACATGGCATGACTGGGATACTTTATCATGGGTGTCTTTAGCACATCCATTAAAGCTCTTGAATGTTGCTCTGAATCACAAGGCATCTCCAGGGCCCTGTAGAGGAGGCAATGCCTGGGTATGATATCCCCCAACAGCCCTCCTGCTAAACCCCCTACTCACACTGTAGGGACACTCAAACACACAAATGATCTCACTGTTTTTTGCAGCACTGCTTATAGTGATGTCAAACTATTCACCTGACTGGGGGCTTATTGGACACTAGGCTAAAAAAAATACCCAGAAGCATCTTTTTACATCTGAACTAAGAAAAGGATTGGACCTGAATTTACAGCCCATTCTGGGTTTCACCAGYGTGCCTATGCACAGGCACCACTGCTGCACTGAGTAATTCAGAGCATCTGTGTGGGAATGAGGAAGCAAAATCAGTCAGAGCCTGTCATCCTTAACAACCCTTCCTACATCAATAATGTTGAAATGTAAAGGACACAAAAGCTGCAGGTAAATCTCACTGGTATATTATTATTTTTAATGTCTGGCTGGTCATGTTCTTGCTCAATGGTAACTTTCCTAACTGAAACATTTCTGGTTCCTTTAAAATATGAGTTAATAATGATGAATCAAAGATAGGGATGATCCTAAATTAAAAAGGCACAGTACAAGGCCTTGCTATAATCAAGGAAACTACTGCTGTCTAGAGACACARAACAGTCACATTTAATTCTGCATTCCTCATTTTAGCCCAAAGAAATCCTAATCCCCTTAGCCCCCTCGAACRGTGCCATCCAGCACATGCCCATCAGAAACAATGAATACATACATCAAGTGAAGAGTAAGGGCAAATTCCTCTGGTTGTTTTACAAGCAAGAGATTAAATTGTGACTAWCCTGCAGAGGTTTAAACAATGGCTTGTAATAAAACTGATGCCATAATAAGTAATCAGAAGTTTGACATGCCTAATGTAGCGTTCATATGTAAAATATCTGCRGCGGAAACAGCACTACCCTCTAATTTTAGTGTTTGTTATGAAATGAAACCTTGGGCCGGGTACCTCTGAACACATGCTGAAGTCCCTGTCCAAGGATGGAGGCAGATTTTCATGGAAATAATACAGAACTCAGCGCAGGCAGGCAGAAGCCCTCTGGAGCCGCAGAGAAGGCAGGCTCTGTTTGAGCCTGTTAGTGAGCACGTAACTGCCACGCATGACTGCATGGGCAAATTTGGAAATTCATCTCAGTTATCCTGCCCATTCCTCCCCTAACTAAACCACTCTACACGGCTCCTGTATGATACCAGAGACATTTACCGCATCATTTGATGTCTTTCTAATGTCAGAAATATCCTACAGATATTCATCCACGGTTYTCCTAAACGAAAGCAGGCACGCAGGAGTCATCCACGTATTTTAACCCATCTTAGTGGATTGAAAACCCAGGGTGCCCAGAACCTGGATGTCAATAAGGTCTCGGGGGAGCACAGGGGGTGACACAGACATGAGGCAGGGTTTAGAGCTGGCAGTGATGAGAGGGAGAGGAGTAGGACAGGGGCAGGCAGGATGTCACACCCCGGGCTGGGGTGCGTGGGGGAGGCCGGAGCAGGGCTGTGAGGGAAGCCAGGGGCAGACACCGAGATGTCAGCATAGAGGCAGAAAAGGACAGCGCGGTGGCAGAGCCGGCGGGCAGGAAGGAGCAGCAGGAGCAGGAGGGCGGCACAGCAGCTGGAACAGCTGGAACAGCTGGAACAGCTGGAACAGCTGGAACAGCTGGAACAGCTGGAGCAGCTGGGCAGGAAGGGCGCGCTGCCCCGCGGAGCGCACTCAGCACCGCCGCGCTCGGCTGCGGGGGATGTCTCAGCCCATCCCAGAGCCTCAGTGCACGCATCCTCCTGACCACGATGTCTAGCAGCGTTCACTCGAACCATTTTCAAACATCCAAGTTATGGAGAGTGTCCCTGATTAGGCAGCGGCGAGCCCGGGAGCTGCGTGCGCCGCCACCATCACCGCAGCAAAAAAAAA